TTATTTCAGCGTTTTAGTAGGCAATGTCTCCACTTTTAATGTTTTTATTTCCTCACGTATTTTGGAGAGTTAAAAAACAAATTTTCTTTCAGATGTACTGTCCATTTTGACTTTTGTTGTCAATGTGGCAGAAACATAAAATTTGTCCAAGATCATGCAAACAAAGCCCAAGATGAGAGGAACACTACCACTGCAACTCCCGATGTTCAACCAAGCACCAGCACAGGTAAACCGAAGCATGGGTTATTTATTTCAGCATGCTTAAATGTTAGCATTTTAAACCATCTGTAGATGCAGGTACGATCATTGCATTTATTGATCGTACCTGCAATTAATAATTAATGCATTTAAATTATAACTTAAGTGCCAATCGTGTATTTTTTTATTACGAATTTCAGGTGTAGAGTGTTTCATGAACTTTAGAGCTATAAAAGAGAGGGAAAGAAAGACATTTTTTACCAAGAAGCATCAGAACAAAACACAGAAGGGAAATAAACTGAAGGTATGCCTTTAATTTAGTGCAAACACAAACTGGAAATTACATACTTCATCAAATAATTTAATTTGATTGATTAAATTTTGTCTCTCCCCAGATTAATGTTGGGCTTATGAGGATGCAGGGAGATTCCCTTAAAACAGTAAGAGGGAAGTTACTTCCAGTTGAGATTCACCCTGAGTGGGCATCGGAACAAGTGCTTGCTGCTGCTGTAAAGAAGCAAAAGGATTTCAATATAGACCTGAGAGATTGTGCCCATGTCTTGTTGTATCCTGATGCAAGGGAGGTTAAGAACATCCCAGGAACAGACATTCCTTTCACAGTGCAAAAATACAAGGAGGCAATTGGAAAGCCTTACCAAAGAATTACGCTTTACATTTGCCCTGTTGAGGAAGTGCTTTTGATCTACATTCCAAATAGTTTGAAGATCAATTTTTCTATAGTCTTATAGTTAAAATGGCAAAATTTCCTCCTATATCCAGAATGCTGTGCATGATTAATTCTAGCTATGATGTCATATATTTTATCTAAGGAAGCAAAAGGATTTTCCTCTTTACAAAAGCTACCTCCTTTTTGTAAAGACTGATGTACAAACGTACATTTTATTAATTGCAAAATTTAGCCTTGCAAAAGAAAATTTATTATTTATAGTACACATTTATAGTATATTTCTTTTCACTGGTTGTTGAAATGATAGTAACCATTTTCCTTTGGATAATATTAACGAACAAAACTGTGTGTTTCATAGTAATAGAAGACTTACTGTGTTTAAATAACTTCTAAAAGATAAATAGAAATCTGCTGCCCGGTGACACAGTTGGTGGCATTGTTGCCTTGCAGCAAGAAGGTGTTGGTTTCAATTCCTTGCCTGGAGTCTTTCTGTATGGAGTTTGCATGTTCTCCCTGTGGGTTCTGACCAGGCGCTCTGGGAAAAGGGTATAATAAAATGAATGGATAAAGAAATCTGAATATACTGTGCTGCTAATTGTACAAAATTCTATTTGTACAACTGATACAAACATTTTCTTGTTGTTTAATATGTATATGAAGTTATGAAAAATTCCTATGCAACTAAACAATTTGTGGAATTACATAAAAATAATAATTAAAATTAAAGTCAAAATAATCATTGCTTTTCAAAGGTTTCAGTGGACAGAGTTCAAGTGATGATGACAGTGTGGTTCATGTAAGGTTGCCATCTCAAGATAGTCCACTATCTGACACTGTGGTCAGTCTGCATCTTTATGACATTTCTCCTGAATTGAATTACTTACACTTTCTTTTGATAAGATAAAACCTGTCTTTTATATGTTGTACATAGGTGTGGGATGGTTCAGATGAAGCAAGCACTCCAAGACTGGAGAAAATTTTGAATGGGTAAAATACAAATGACTGTTTGCTTCATATTTTATTGCAGAAACTGTTATATCCACTTTATAGCTATGCTAATTTTTATTTTCAGGCCTTCTGGACACACAGAACAAGGGTCTGATCAGGTAAGATTGAACTCAATCCCTTTCACGGTTCAATATGTAAACATTACATACCATAAAAGATTTTCAAAAATTCACAAAGACAATCACCCAAGATGAGATACATGACATTGTGTTAGCTAAGTTTGTATGGTATTGCCACTACCAAAACTGGAGTACTAATTTATGTTAAATTAGGATGGCGGAAACACCAACGTCCAGGAGCATCCCATGTCATCAGAGGGCCAGAACCCCTTCTATCGGTAGGTTGTGTGAGCACATGTCAACTTTTGCACATGTCAACACATTTACTGAAATGATTTATAGAAATTACACATAACATTTGGCATAAAGACTTACAAAAAATTCCATCACGGATAAATCCAAGAACTGTAACTAACTGAATTATTAATCTCAACTAAAATGTCTTCTTACATTTCCAAACTGAAAAAAGTCATTGAAAAAAGAAGTTTTGCACCTCTCCAGTTAAAACAGCAACTGGTACATTTGTGAGTGCATTTACTATCTCCACCCAACTGGCACACACATCACAGAGAACCAAGCGCACCTATCCCTTTCACTTAGGCCCATCTGAACTCTATAAGGTAACTTGGCAAACCTGCGCTCACAATGATCTCTTCAGACAAAGAGCCTCAGCTTCAAGCTTCCACAAAGACACTCTGGTAGGAAATGGACATTATATCATTTAATCTGCATTCACAGACCAAAATTAGCCCTTGATTCAATGGCTTTTATGTGTTTGGAATGTAGTTTATTTGTTTGTTCATTCACTGTTAACTTAAAAGTACATTGTTAACATTACTTGACACGTATTTAATTAGTTCATTGTGATCTGTAATTGATTTTGTTTAATTTGTTTGTTGGTTTTCAACCTGCTCTGTGACTACTTATGTGAAGTCATGGTGGTCTTGCACTGTCAATTGAAATAATCTAAAGACAAAAATAAAAAATAACTAAAAATTGTTGCTGAGATGAGTGGTTCCTGCTTTTCTTTGAGGGAAGCAAGCTGTTTCAAGTTTGGGCAGAAGCTGAGGTGGTTTAAAGAGCAAAAAACTTGACAGCACCATAACTTCTGGTTGTTCAATATTTTTTTTCTATCAAACTTTGAGTAGTGTGCAATAATTACACAAATATGCTGGTGTTAGCTGTCCTACTGCCAAGAATGACTGACAGAAGTCTCTATGCCTTAATTTAAATTATTTACCTAGTAAAGTATTTACTCTATTTCCTTTTCAATACAGCAACTACACAAATGTGTACGCACCAATAATTGTTGACAGCGACTCTGAGCCGGATGAATATGTGATGCAGTTCCCTGAGCAAAGGTATTAATTAGAAATTAGTTTTCTTCTAAATCCTTTTGTGCTTTTTGTATTTTAAATCATTGTACACTTCATGTTTTATAGTACAGACAACGTGACTGCTGCAGACATCATTTCCGAGCTCTCTGCAATGATCACGTCATCATCTCTCAGCTGCTTTAACACAAACAGAGCCAATGTATGGGATGGAGCACTGAGAGGTTTCAAGCGGGCTTCTTTCAACCCTTTCAATGACATATTTGTAAAATTCACCGATGACGAGGGACAGGCAGAAGACGGCGTTGATAATGGTGGTCCCAAGCGCGAGTTTCTAAGCCTTTTAATGAACTGCTTAAGGACTCGAAGAGTCTTTGATGGGCCAGAAGAAAGGAAATTTATCACTTTTGACAGTGAATGTATTGCCGTTAAGGGCAATATTTCAGATTTTTTTTCATAAGAATGTGACAGCTGTTGGTGAATATGTAATTAATGTGAACAAAATCTATACAGCAGCCAAAAATGATGAATATTTCATGGTTGGGATGATGATTGCCACTTCTGTTGTTCATGGAGGTCCAGGTCCTCAATTCTTATCTGAGAAGCTCTACCAGCACCTCACAGGAACATCAACAAATACAGACGGAATGATAGAAGACATCACCGACAACACCATGAGGGCTTCTTTGATTGAGGTAGGATAGCATTATTGATGAGGCTTAACAAGTTGTTACAATCAAGCAAAAATTTTGTTATTCCATAACTTCATGTAACATTAAGATCATTTGTATTTTGTGTTTGATACGATTCTATTGTGCAGAATAAATCTGATATTTTCTAAAAGGCACATGTCATATTAAAGCACAAACGAGTACCTACGCTACCTTCACTTATGAGAATGCTATATGCATAAAAAAGACAAGCCACTTTATTAGGTACATCTCGTTAGTACCGGTTTGTACACCCATTTGCCTTCTGAACTGCTTTAATCCGTAGTGGCATG